AAAGATAATGCCTTTGGGTATGACATCAAGGAGATGAAGGAAAAGAAAAGGGCTGGCAGAGATGGCTCAGCTCATAAAAGTGTTTGCTGCCAAGCCCGATGATCTCTGTTCAATCCCTGGGTCCTCTGTGTCAAAAGAAAAGAACAAGTTGTCCTCTGGCCTCCACACATGTGCTGTGGTATGCATGCACCCTCCACGACATACACATTAAAAAAAAAATAATGTTGGCCAGGCAGTGGTGGCACATGCCTTTAGTCCCAGCACTTGGGAGGCAGAGGCAGGCAGATCTCTGTGACCAGTCTGGTCTACAGAATGTGTTCCAGAACAGGCTCTAAAGCTATACAGGGAAATCTTTTTTCAAACCCCCCTCCAAAAAAATTTTTAAAGAGGGGGATAAAATGTTTAATTTTAATATAAATTTTAAGGAATGAGGAAATAAAGATATAAAATAATTACAACTTATAACTAAGATTTTATTCTTAAAATATAAAAAAAAACTTCTGTGGAAATCATTCAAAAATATCAAATAAAGCAATGAACAAATAAGCAGATAGAAAGAGAAGAAATGAAGATGCTCATTTCTAGGAACTGTTGCATGCGTTGGAATCCCTAGACAACAGCTCTGAGATGGAGGTTTCCCTGTGACTTGCTTATCTGAGGTTGCCATGAGGAAGAGTATCTATATGGGAGGACCAGGGCTGAGCAGAAATAAACTGATCTGGAAATCCAACACTCCAGATACTCTAAACGTTGGTTTCTCAACTTGTGGGTCATGACCCCCTTATAGGTCAAATGGTTTGCCCCTTAGGCAAACAGGGGTTGCCTAAGAACATCAGAAAACACAGATATTTACATTGAGATTCATAACAGTAGTAAAATTACAGTTATGAAGTAGCAAAGAAAATAATGTGCTATGGGATGGTCTTTCTGTACTCTGGGAATATGTGTTGCTACCACTGGTTAATAAAGAAGCTGCTATGGCCTGTGTCAAGGCAGAATAAAGCCAGTTGGGGAATCCAAGCACAGAGACAGGGAGAAGAAGGTGGTGTCAGAGGAGACACTGTGTGCCACCACCCAAGATGTAATGAGATACAGGTAAAGCTACAGGACACATGGCAAAACATAGACTAATAGAAATGGGTTGAATTAAGTTGTAAGAGCTAGGTAATGATAAGCCTGAGCCATAAGCCAAACAGTTTATAATTCATGTGTGTTTATTTGGGACTGAACTGCTGTGGGACCAGTTAAAACAGAAACTTTCATCTACAGTAATTTATGGTTGGGGGTCACCACGATATGAGAAACTGTGTTAGAGGGTTGCAGCATCAGGAAGGTTGAGAACCACTGTTTTAAGCTGTCCCTATAAGGTGTCCCCAGTTGATTAAACTGAACACTTGCATCCCTGCATCAACCAATCAGAGGACAAGAAGGCCACCTTAAGTGAGACAAAAACACTTTGTGTTTATTAAAAACATAGATTCCAAGGGTGCACCCTGTGATCAAACGCATCTACTCAGTCTTCAAGGCCTGGATAGTTTGTAAATGTGCCACTTTCTTGTACCACAGTTAAGGAGTCTGCCACGAGGATGCTATCCACTCAATTTGCTTTGTCTTCCAGGATCTTTTATTTCAAACAGGGTGTATGTGGCCGTGCTTGGGCAGCTCTGGTTGCCTCACTCCTTACAGAAAGCATAGATTTTAAGTCTGTTTCAATAAGTCAATAGTACATGTAGACTGATGATGTTTTTATTGGAAGGCTAGATTTGTGGATGTTTGCTACTGACATTCCTCATATGTTTTTCCCTGCTTCTTACAAAATAGACTATGATGTTTTAACTTTCCAACTGATTTTTTTCTACTTTACTAGGAGCAAATACATTTCCATTAAAAACTATATTTCTTTTTACCTACTGAAAAGAACATGTAACCATTGCAGTTCCCATTTTTACTTGCTTGAAGAAACAAAAAAGAAGAGAAAAAATGTGTTTTCTGAAAATATGAATATAAATCCAGAGGAAATGTAATAAGAGCTAAAACTTGTCCTGTGGGAGTAAGAAAATGGAAATTTCTAGTGGATCCAGACAGGAAAGATTTCTTTAAACATGGATATAGTTTATTTTAAAATATTTACCTGCTAAGTCAAGAAATGGGTGTGTTTGTATTCTGGTGTATAATTTACTGAATTACTTACAGAAGTGAAAATATAAATACAAAGTTTACATTTAAACTGCAAGGAAAGAAAAAATATTTTAGATATGCCATATTTATTTTAGATCATTTTTGAGTCGTTTAAATAAAAGACTACACCTTTAAATGGGAGGCTAATTGCAGGAGTGTGAAAACAACCCTGTAGTGAACATGTGTATCCGTGGAGGTTGTGAGGAAAGAAGAAAGCAGGACGCAAAGGCCTCACATGCTCCTTCTCTGCCTTAGAGACTATGGCTGGTGGCACAGGAAGCTTTGAGCACACTGCTAGCAGGAAGGCAGAAGTGTGCTCGGTGTCTATTCTAAGACAGCAGTAAGACGGGGTGGGAGGTGGTTTTTCAGAGAGGGCAATTATAAATTAATTTTGGGAGTGAAAACATATGATTTCCGATTTAATCCCACTTTTCCAACCACTTTATTAAGCTACAAATAACTAGTGAGGATTTATACATATAGTACATTTAATATGTCAATCAGCTTCCCAATATTCTAGAAACTTACTAATAATTTAAGTGTAGTATGTATAGTACACAAATTAATTATAATCCTAATCTACTCTGGACTATTGAATACATGTAATAAAATGTAACACAAGTAGTAAGTGGCAATAAAATTTTAAAATATTATTATTCAACTAGCACCTAATAAACTAAAAAATACTCATGTTTTAAAAATAATTATCTAATGAATGAAGATATTTTACAGTGACATTTGGTGCCAAGAGGAGGGAGATGTGGTCTCAAATGCTGATGGCAAAATACGGAAAAAGAATTAGCAAAAGCAGGTGTAGGTGAAAAAAAACCTGCCATATAATTATTAATATTTGGCCCCAAAACCCTGGCCCATGTGCACTCCTCTCCCCCAGGACACTGAAAGCAGCTGAAGAGAGGTGCAGGTGGAGGCTGCCAAGGTCAAATCTGCTTGGATTTCCTTTGTTTAAAACTGCACAGCCCTAACAGAGACCTGTGATGTAAGCGTTTTTAATGGGATAGACCTGCAGACCTCCTGATGAGTCGATCGTAATACTTTTTCTAGACTTTATTTGCTATTTTGCTATGAAGTATCACCTCTCCACTGCCCTCACTCACATCACATGAGTGAGCAAATGGTTGAATGTTCCTTCCTTCTCTTGAACATTCTACCGGCAGGATTGGTTTAAACCACTTTCCTAATACTCATTTTCATTCTCTGAGTTCATAGTTGTTGTAAGTAATGAAGATGAGATGAACATTGATGCTCCTAAGGCATCTGAACAGTGGAATCAGGAGAAGGAATGCTGTTCTGAGAACGCCAGGAACACCCACAGAGCTAATGATACACCACCACACCGAGAACCAAGTGGGAATCAGATGTGTTCAGATGGGTTGTCGAAGAGTTAATAAGGGTTAACTAAGTAGTTTTTCAGGGGGGTTCAGCAAATGTCTGATTTGTGAGAATGTAACAGGTGGAATCAGTATATGCCAGTCTGCAGGGAGAGGCGACCCACTCTCAAAACTGGATGGGAACTGCGTCCGCAGCAATAGAAGGCAGAACAACCCAGGGACCAGACAGGACCGATGGCAGCTGTGTAGAGAGTGGTTAACTACAACGTGCCAGCTGATAGGTGACTAGACAAGGTGAATAGCACCTGCTCCTACATCCTTGGTCTACCCTGAAGTCCACTACAAACACCTCCTTGAGAGTGGTCCCTTTTCTTGCAGTATGCTTTGCTGCCTCTGGAAGTCAATGCTGCTGGAGTGAGCAAGTGGATGTACACCCCAGGTCCTCACCAGGAGGAGGCTAGCTCAGAGTCACTTTCCTTAGGTCCACAGAGAGCTATCAGCCTGACTGAGCCCTTGGGATCCACAGCAACAACACCCTTTAAAACAGTTCTTCTTGTGCTCTCTTTTCTTGTCCTGTCTTGCCAGCATCCCCTCTTAGTGCTCACCAGAACCACCTTCTAAGTAAATCAGCTGCCACACATGCTTGTATCTGAGGATGAACAAAAACAGTCATCCAAGACAGAATTTCAAGTCACCTCTTAGTATTGGGTAATGGCTTTGATGATGGCAGATGGGAGCTTTCCACATCACATGTGCCTATCTAGCCGTTCGGGCACATCTGTCTCATCTAAGGCCCAGAGAAAACGTGCTATGTACCTTGGCCTCCTGTGGAATGTTTGGGGAAAGCCAACAAAAAGACTAAAGTTACCCACAGAGTCCCATAGGAAGAGACACGAGGCACCGAGACAAGAATGAGAAAGGCTTAGAGGGAGCAGGAGTTGGTGCCTGGAATATGTGGTGCCCCCAGAGAACTCAGATACAAACAATCATGAATAGGGTTTCTCTTCCGGTGTTAGGGAAGTGGCTCCAGCCATGTTCATTCAATATCAAAGAAAACAGTGATCAAATCAGACAAAAGACTTGAGAATGTGAAGATGGCTGAAGTGGTCTTCACAGTCATCAATGCTTTGAACTTCCTTCTCTGGGGCTGGAGTAAGGTTAGAGAGACTACGTGAGTCCCCTTCAAGGAGGGTGGTGGCTGACATGCAGCCTGAATGAAAGAGGGACTTTTCACAGTTCAGAGGAGACTGGCTAGCCTTCAGTGGGTAGCCTGGACCGGGCTGGTTCGGGGGTGGGGGGTGGGGAATGGGGGATGCTGGCAGTTGCTCTGAACTCTAAGGACCTGGCTGACGTGCACACGTAAGACTGTGAGATAGAGGCAGTCCACGGACACAATAGCATGAGTGCACTAAAATGAATTTTGTACCTCATATTTTTAAATAAATGGGTTAGTTTTATATAGTACTAAATGAATACAGGAGCAAAATTGATTTTTAATTGAAAATATGTGCACGTTGTATTCAGAAAAAGCAAATTTATGAGCCACAAGATGATTAATTATTTCATAAACTTAAAACATTATGCTTTAATGAATTAGCCTAACCAGATATTTATTATCATGAACATTAGTGCCAAAGCGACCAAAGGTGCTAAGTGCAGGCGACCTGTTTTGGCACCGAAGTCAGAAAGACAATGCCGTGCTTCTTCCTCCTTCTTGAGAGAGCTTCCAGTCACCACTCCAGGGTAGTTTGTGTTTCCTTGCGTATCTGTAGCTCTAATATCTCAATCTCCCGAGAGAGCTTGTAAATCTCCAGCGCCATTTTCACATCATTGGGATTTGGTAGACATTGCATCAACTTCTTGCCTTTGAATACATGCTCACAGTCTTTAGAGGCCACCTGAAAGAGATGGAGGTTTGGGGTAGCAGTGAGTGGCTCCAGATGATCATTAAGAAATAGAGCAGCCAACATCCTTAATCATCAGAGAAATGCAAATCAAAATGACTCTGAGAT